ATGGAAAAGTATGTATATTTTTCTTCAAGTGCAATGAGAAGTCAATGAGGATTTTTAAGCAAGAGAATTTTTATGATCTAATTTGAGTTTGGATACTTTTGGATTATCACATTGGCTGTTAAAAGGGAAACGTATTATAGGGACACATGTGAAGCATGGAGTCCAGCTGGGAAAGTAGAGACAATTATTACTTGGACTAGAATACTGCCACTGGAAATGGACAGAATATGGTAAAATTCAGTTTTATTTTGGAGAGAAATTGGTAGGACTTCCTAATGCAATAGATGTAGGTATTCAGAAAATCAAAATAAGTAAGGATGGTTCTGAGGCTCGGGGATTTAGTAACAGCAAAGGATGATAACATTCATTAAAATGGATGTGATTAAGGAGGAACACCTTGAGGGGAAACAGGATACAAGAAGAATATAAGACTTAATAAGATTCTAATAATGTGTCTGGAGGGCATATTAAATTTAAGATACTGATGTCATATACATGTGCCTGAACTCAGGATACAAGGTGTCCTGTGGATAGGAATTTAGGAGTTTTCATTACGTGGATGGTATTTAATATTTAAGAAGCTAGAGGAGATCACAAACAGTAACATGTTAAGAACAAAGTAGAGGGGAGGCAAAATCAAGCTCTGTGAATTACTACATGAAAAACAAGGGAAAGAAGGAGCCAACAATGATGGAATATAAGAAACATTTCTGTTTCTGGAACCAAGGGAAGTTTCTATTTCAAGAAGGGAACTGTGTTTAACATTTCACATGATCTCTGCTTTGACAAAACCAGAGCAGCTCCAATGGAACATAGAGGTGGAAGTCCAGTAGGAGTGAACGGACTATACATCGGTTGGGGAGAAAATTAAAGTCTGTCTATAGAGAATACAACTTCTAAGTTGTTCACTGTGAAAGAGAAAGAAAAATAGGGTGATAAATAGGAATAGAGGTGGAATCAAGGATTTTTTTCTACCTTCTTTTGTGTTTTAAGAACGGATATTCCTTTTGTTTTTATGCTAATGGAAATGATCTAGTACATTAGGAGATATAAAACATTCTAGGTGAAGGTGATTTCCAGAATAAATTTTTTAAGAAACCTAAGGGATATGGGAATTAAAGAAAAATGTGAGGATTTGGACAAGCCTTTGATGGGAGCAGGAAATACAGTTCCCTTCTAAGAAAATCAAAGGCAGGTAGAGTTACAGGTAGTGTGGTGTTGCAAATATAAAGCATTTTAAGAGTCTCGCTTGTATTAATATTCTTCGTGAATGGTGAGACAAATTTCAGGGTAGGAGCAGAAGATTGAATTATATCAAGTCTAAGGAGAGGAAAGAACATAGGAACTAATTTCATTAGGTAGGAACATATATTTCTCGGAAAAATGTAGTACTGAAAGTAGTATTATATTTTAGTTACTTGATTATTTTATACTACTCCAGTATTCAAAATTATTTACAAGCATTCATGATTTCTGGGATTCTTAGAAATCAGATAAATACCTTAATATGTAAAATAACGAATGATCTAAAATTTTGAAATGGGCTTACTTCTTGAGCATAGATATAAAGACACAGATTGAATTTGTCTAACACAGTTATATTTAAAGTCAGATGTTCATAAGTCCTTTAAAAATAAATAATCGCAAGTAAGTTTCAATTTAACAACTGTCTTAGTGAAAGGGTGATACTGTTTCTGGCTGGATTAGCTTCATGCCTGAGCATGTTGGGACCATTCCTTTAGCCCCACTGTATCCATCCCTAGACAGTCACGTGCCCCCAGACATTTTGTATACTTTAATCTAATGTCTATGTCTTCTGAGTATATATTAATTTTGAAAATATGCCTATTGGTCTATTATTAAACTCTCCTCTTTCTTTGTTTCAACACCCTCTACTCTATTTTGCTAACTCCCAATGTACATAATACAAAATGTATTCCACACTTTATTCACAGTAATGTTAACCACATAATTATCTTTAATAACAGTCAGTTGGAAATAGGCTAAATGAACTAAAAATAAAATGATTATGTGAATCATGGAGAAATGTAACCTTGTGAAGTCACTGAAGTAAGACATAAGACAATGTTTATGAACCTTTTCAATAACACAAGAGATTTTTGTTATAATGTTAAGTGAAAAAAATGACACAAATTACATATGAACTATTTTTTAACACATCCTACTTGGTTCCAAAAAAAATGTTAAGATAGCTTGCAAAATCCCATACTTTTAACAAGGTAAAAAACAAAACAAAACAAAACAACAACAACAACAACAAAACCTATAAATTTGGGAAATTATTCAAAAGGGGAAAATTATTAGGGAAAATAAAGTGAAAACTTATATTTTATTTCCTTAAGTCTGCCCAAAGTTGCTATATTTGGACAGAAATTTTACTCTAAGCATCCTCAGAACTGGGTTTCCCTAAATGAAAAACCAAGATTGATTATGTAATATAGAGCATCTGCCAGAGAAAGTAAACCAGCTGCTCCAGGAAAAGCCAACTAAACCTGACTTGGATACCTGCTAGACTTCTCTGTGCTATCTTACTCCTTAGCATGTGTTGGGAAAATCTAGTTATCTTCAGTGGGAAAGGAGAGAAGCAGGAGAGAAACATGCAACCAGTTTTCTTTTTAAAAAATTGTCATAAATATACAATTAAAAAGAGATGAATTACTCTCTGATTTATCAAGACACAATCCCAATGATCCCAACTCATGTATTTGCATTAAAGTGAAAATTGCTACTGTTACAGCTTCTGATGATGATAACTATTGTTTCTACCACATTTTTTAAGTAGAATAAACCACTAACACCTTGGCCTATAATCATACTTTCTCACCAAAGGTACCATAATGTTAGCGAAATGGGAGGATTACAGGTATTCTTACAATTCCATGAACCCAAACCCGAGACCAAATGTATTTTTTAATGTATTTTTCAAAAAAATTTTTGATAAGTAATACAAAACGTTGACTCTAGACAATGTTACACCTCATAAACAAACCTATTAATATTCCTGCAGGGGAGCAAGTGGATATTTTCACTTGGTTGGATGAAAAAAGACTAGCGTTGCAGCCCAAAGCATGATTTGCCACCAAACAAATTAACAAATATTTATAATAAAAGCAAACTTTTCATTTTACTGTTTCATTTTTCTTTGAGAACACTATATATGAGATCTTGGCCTGAGCATTCTGCGCAGTTTGTTGTAAAGGTTAAGTGCAGAGATGTAAATCATTTGTCTGATGCATGTACAGTGATCATTAGCACTATGGACTTGTCTGCATTCCTGGCAGGCTCGGGGTCCCATCCAGCAAGCCAATTTTATAGGCCCTTATTATCATGCAAACATGGAGTGTAGAACATCTTGAGATAGGTCTATGCGGAACTTTTAGACTTAAGTAATGCACGTTTGACATACTATGACTAACATCATGATCTTAAGATGTGTACTTTAAAATGCCAAAAAAATCAAACACTATCTTGATGGAACAATATAAGGATGAAAAATTATTAACCTTGTTATTATAGGCAAAAAATGGGGTGCCTGGGTGACACAATCCTTTAAGCCTCCAACTCCTGGTTTTGGCTCAGGTTTGTGATCTCAAGGTTGTAAAATGATCCCCTCACTGGTCTCCACATTCAGCGTGGAATTCTGCTTAAGTTTTTCTCTCCCTCTGCCCCTCCCCCTCCGCTTGCTCACACGTGCTCTCTCTCTCTTTCTCTCAAATTAATAGATAAATCTTCTTAGAGAAAGACAAAAACTGAAACACTGAGATCTTATTTCCTAACTTAATATATTTGAAGGGAGGGTGGGCATCGAACACCTCTTTAGAGTCTGATCACCAGACAGTAGATCCATATTCTCAGGTCTAGTGGTATAGTTTGTCCAAAGAACCAGGGTTAATTCAGAGGATCTATTAAAATTCAAAAGATTTTAGCTCCATGTGATGCCTGGCCAGTATCATTTTATTCTTACTGGCAGGCCCAGCTATTCAGGGGCTCTCTCTTACCACCTTGGGTCTGACAACCTAGAAAATGGAATTTGACCATGGGGGCAGGACCGATGAAGCAGGTCACATAGAGAAAAGTTTACAGGTCTAACTTTGTTTGTCCTAATTTTACTTAAAAAAGGCATTTATTTCAAGTCTCTGTTATGTCCCATAGCATGCAGAGACCCTCTCTCCAGTTTTCCATGCCAGGCAGATTTCCCTGGATTGGGCTTTAATAAGGCTTCTGTAATTAAAAAGGGGAAACAGGATATGGTTGATAAAATGAGAACTTTGAATATCTCAATCTTAATATTTGACTTTCACTTGATTTTCAGTACAAAAGTAAGACAAAGGTGTTATATTCTTATGTGAAATTCTGAGACCTAGAGATATTATTTTTATTCATTTAATAAGAATTTACAAAGTGCGTAGTACATCATCAATGTCCATGCCACACCAATTTTTCCTTCCATGAGGGGTGGAACACGAGTCCAGTGACAACTGGGTACACAGGACCAGCCCCACATACCTGGTACAGTGTGTTATTTTTATGTAAGACTGATTTTTGTAGGGGTGCCTGGGTGGCTCAGTGGGTTAGGGCCTCTGCCTTCTGCTCAGGTCGTGATCTCAGGATCCTGGAATCGAGCTCCTTGTCAGGCTCTCTGCTCAGTGGGGAGCCTGACTCCCCCCCACCCCCCCACCTGCCTCTCTGCCTACTTGTGATCTCTGTCAGATAAATAAATAAAATCTTAAAAAAAAAGACTGATCAGCCACAGCAACTTCTTTCAAGATATGTCTCCAAAGGCAAAGGAAACAAAAGCCAAAATAAACTTTTGGAAAAAAAAAAAGACTGATTTTTGTAGCCTGACGTGAATGTAGTTAACACAAGTTCTTAAAACTGATTGTAATATGATCTATAAGTGCCATTTAAATCTTTTTGAAATTTTAGAAGTTTTTGATAAAATGCCATCATTTTCCTTTGTTTTATTTTTTTATACTTGCTGGATCTTCATGAGGCTGGGGGCGAGGATTTCGCCATGGATGAGGATGGGGACGAGAGCATCCACAAACTAAAAGAAAAGGCGAAGAAACGGAAGGGCCACGGCTTTGGCTCCGAAGGGTCTCGAGCGCGGATGCGTGAGGATTATGACAGCTTGGAGCAGGATGGTGATGAACCTGGACCACAACGCTCTGTTGAAGGCTGGATTCTCTTTGTCACTGGAGTCCATGAGGAAGCCACTGAAGAAGACATCCATGACAAATTTGCAGAGTATGGGGAAATAAAAAACATCCACCTCACTCTGGACAGGCGTACAGGATACCTGAAGGGGTATACTCTAGTTGAGTATGAAACATACAAGGAGGCCCAGGCTGCTATGGAGGGACTCAATGGCCAGGATTTGATGGGACAGCCAATCAGTGTGGACTGGTCTTTTGTTCGGGGTCCACCTAAGGGCAAGAGGAGAGGTGGCGGAAGACGCAGCAGGAGGGAACACAAGCAGGGGAGAGGGAGAAGCAGGCTCCCGCTGAGCAGGGAGTCCCATGTGGGGCTCCATCCCAGAACCCTGGAATCATGACCTGAGCCAAAGGCAGATGCTTAATCAATGAGCCACCCAGGTGCCCCAAATGTCATCATTTTCTGATATAAATCACTGATAAAGCAGTGGCATTTAGTAACTATAAAACAGTTTAGAAAAAAAAAATTATTCCCTTTCTTTCCTCATCACAAAATGTTCTCTATTTTGATAAGTCTTAAAATAATTTTAACACATTCTAAGATACCCTAAAATTCAAGATTTACAACAAATAAGCAGATGCTTATTCCACATAGAACTGACTCTCCTCCGTGCTTGTTCTTTTTCAGCATTTTTTTTCAATCACAAAATGACTCCAATCTGACCAGAACACCTGAAACCATCATTCTTTCTTCATTAGTGCAAAGTAAAAAAAGGAAAGGGAATCATGAAATATATCTTCAACTTTCCTTCTGTTTGGAAATTACTGAGAATATGTCTATTAACTTAAAAAGAACACATACACACACATACATGCATATACACTAGCTTCTCTCTCTTTTTTCTTTCTTCTATTTATCATCATTCACCTATCAACTATGTACATACATAAAATACAAACATTAGAGAGACTCTATACTCAGTCTCTTTTTCTCTCTTTCTGTCTTCCCACATGTTTTTAGAACATTTCCTTAAGCACAAAAATTGTTGATAATCTGTTTTTAACAGAGTATTAGATTTCTCCATTCCCTATGATACTTATTACTCACTATTTTGACTTGATAATCAAAGATTTCTGATTGACCATCACTAAAAATGCAACAATAAAACTTTAAATAGTTAACATTATCAACCTCAAGTAGTGCTCCTCATTACTTTTATTAAAGACTATGTAATTATACACATCAATTGAGTATTTACTCACAGTTGAAGATCCACTGATATGCTGAATTTTTGTTGTTCTGTTTGTGTTGAGAAATCTGATTGCATGTGTTTCTCCATAGTTTAAATCATTATGATTCTCTATGAATCCACAAAATCATGTATTAAGGTGGATTTGCCAAGGAATAATGAGAGTTTTTTGCTATAATAAGAACCACTCAATTAAAGAAGATGCTCATTAGTAACATATTTGTTTGTGCCTTGAGTGAGGACTACATCAAGAATCATTATTTCATTTTGGAGCAGATGATGTATGAAAAACTCCAAGAAAACTTCAAACCATCATCATTTGGGCTAATCCAAGTGATTCCAAAAGCATTTTAACATCTCAATTTTATATGTAATGGACCAAGAAGAGAGAAATCTTGTTTCTTATTTGCAAACCTGCTGTGATCAGCTCCCTGCAGTCACCAGAACTGAGGAAAATGGGCCAAAAACACCCTTTTGAAGGTAGTGAACTGAGGCTGGCTGTCATGAAGGTCATTACCTCATACAGAGCAATTATTATGGATGGCTCTTTCAAAATTGAGTCCTGGTGCCACTAGCATAGATGGAACTCGAGACTGAATAGATAATTTTGTTAAAGTGTGCTTATTCTTTCAAAGTTTTAGAAAGTAAACATACCTGAAACATGATTTAAAAAAGAATACATTTTTACTAAATATCATTAAAATTATTTTATAAATAACACTGACTTATCTTCTATTTTGTATGTTGTTTTTTACTCACCTAACTTCACAGCAACCTCAGGAGTAGATGCAATTTATATCACTGTTTTACTGTCGAGGAAAGAGAGGGTAGAAAGATGAAATACTTTCCCAACCTCCAAAGCCGATTCAAATTCAAGAGGTCAGGATCTTACCACTAAACAATAGATCTACTTATTCTTCTTAAAAATAAAATCAGGGTTGAAGGTATGGAGCAGATCTAAAGCCAGAAACACCAGCTGATATTAGGACATAAGGCTGGAAGTGTAAAATGGAGATCAAATCAGTGTTTGAAATAGATCAGTAAATGAAATTATTGTCTTTTTTTAAATTTGGTTCAGCAGGTAGGTAATCCTGCATATGTTACTTAATTTAAAAAAAAAAAATTTCTGTATTCTCTCCTCTTTCCAAAACTAACTTGGAAGGGGGGAGGGGGAACAGTGCCTAGACATGGATTGAGAAGGGCAGAGAAGAATAAGTAAAGATTTTGCTAAATTATGAAATTATCTAGGTCAGCTTCCACTTCCAGCCATATTGACTAACAGAGAACAGATTCAACTTCCCATCTGAATGAACCAAGAAAAACAAGAAAAAAAAAGTATGAACCAACAATTTTCAAGATATCAACTATCAGACAATGAAGAACAGTGATCTGTGAAAAGTGGGAAAAAAAAAATGAAGTGAGACTTACAATTAGCCCCGCTTGTTACCTTGAGAGACTTTCCAGGCTGCAGCACAGAAAGGGTAAATGAGGGCACAAATCAAGAGATTCCTTACCCTGGGGATATGGAATTGAGAACCTGGGATACAGCAAGTAGATTTTGCAGGATAGGAAGGAGAAAGCTGAACTGGGGAATATTTTAGAGAATTACACATGGTCTTTGTTGAGTTCCTGGCATAATACTAATAGGTAAAAAAGGGGAAAATAGAAACAAAGATCAGTTGGGAGAAATAGCAAGATGATAGATTAAACATAATCATATTACTAATCATATAAAATGCAATGGTTGAAACCCATGAACTAAAAGGCAGAGATTGTCAGGTTGGATGGAAAGCAATATCCAACTGTATACTACTTTTAGAAAAAAAATTTAACATATAAAGATATCCATAGGTTAAATTTTAAATAATGGGAAAATATTTACTGTGCTAGTAGTAGTCAAAGTAAGCTGGAATTTAAATAAAAATATCAAAGTCAATTTTAAGACAAAGAATATTATCAGGTATAAAATTAATGCACAGAAAGCAGTTACATTTCTCTTTTTTTTTTTTTTAAAGATTTTATTTATTTATTTGCAGAGAGAGAGAGAGAGGTCACAAGCAGGCAGAGAGGCAGGCGGGGTGGGGGGGGAAGCAGGCTCCATGCTGAGCGGAGAGCCCAATGTGGGGCTCCATCCCAGGATTCTGGGATCATGACCTGAGCCGAAGACAGAGGCTTAACCAACTGAGCCACCCAGGTGCCCCAGCAGTTGCATTTCTTTACACCAACAACAAGACAAAAGAAAGAGAAATTAAGGAGCCAGTCCCATTTATAATTGCACCCAAAACCATAAGATACCTAGGAATAAACCTAACCAAAGAGGCAAAGAATCTATACTCAGAAAACTATAAAGTACTCATGAAAGAAATTGAGGAAGACACAAAGAAATGGAAAAATGTTCCATGCTCCTGGATTAGAAGAACAAATATTGTGAAAATGTCTATGCTACCTAAAGCAATCTACACATTTAATGCAATCCCTATCAAAATCCCATCCATTTTTTTTTTCAAAGAAATGGAACAAATAATCCTAAAATTTATATGGAACCAGAAAAGACCTCAAATAGCCAAAGGAATATTGAAAAAGAAAGCCAAAGTTGGTGGCATCACAATTCCAGACTTCAAGCTCTATTACAAAGCTGTCATCATCAAGACAGTATGGTGCTGGCACAAAAACAGACACATAGATCAATGGAACAGAATAGAGAGCCCAGAAATAGACCCTCAACTGTATGGTCAACTCATCTTCGACAAAGCAGGAAAGAATGTCCAATGGAAAAAAGACAGCCTCTTTAACAAATGATGTTGGGAAAATTGGACAGACGCATGCAGAAAAAATGATATTGGACCATTTCCTTACACCACACATGAAAATAGACTCAAAAGGATGAAGGACCTCAATGTGAGAAAGGAATCCATCAAAATCCTTCAGGAGAACACAGGCAGCAACCTCTTCGACCTCAGCCGCAGCAACATCTTCCTAGGAACATCGCCAAAGGCAAGGGAAGCGAGGGCAAAAATGAACTATTGGGACTTCATCAAGATCAAAAGCTTTTGCACAGCAAAGGAAACAGTTAACAAAACCAAAAGACCACTGACAGAATGGGAGAAAATATTTGCAAATGACATATCAGATAAAGGGCTAGTGTCCAAAATCTATAAAGAGCTTAGCAAACTCAACACCCAAAGAACAAATAATCCAAACAAGAAATGGGCAGAGGAAATGAACAGACATTCTGCAAAGAAGACATCCAGATGGCCAACAGACACATGAAAAAGGGCTCCACATCACTTGGCATCAAGGAAATACAAATCAAAACCTCAATGAGATACCACCTCACACCAGTCAGAATGGCTAAAATTAACAAGTCAGGAAAAGACAGATGCTGGTGAGGATACGGAGAAAGGGGAACCCTCCTACACTGTTGGTGGGAATGCAAGCTGGTTCAACCACTGTGGAAAACAGCATGGAGGTTCCTCAAAAAGTTGAAAATAGAGCTACCCTACCACCCAGCAATCGTACTACTGAGCATTTACACTAAAGATACAAATGTAGTGATCTGAAGGGGCACATGCACCTGAATGTTTATAGCAGCAATGTCCACAATAGCCTAACTATACAAAGAACCTGGATGGACATCAACAGATGAATGGATAAAGAAGAGGTGGTATATATATACAATGGAATACTATGCAGCCATCAAAAAAATGAAATCTTGCCATTTGCTACGACATGGATGGAACTAGAGGGTATTATGCTTACCGAAAGAAGTCAATCAGAGAAAGACAACTATCATATGATCTCCCTGATATGAGAAAATGGAGATGCAACGTGGAGGGTTTGGGGGGTAGGAAGGGAGGGAGACAAACCATAAGAGACTCTTAATCTCACAAAACAAACTGAGGGTTGCCAGGGAGAAGGGGGTAGGGAGAGCGTGGTGGGGTTATGGACATTGGGGAGGGTATGTGCTATGGTGAATGCTGTGAAGTGTGTAAACCTGACAATTCACAGACCTGTACCCCTGGGGCTAATAATACATTATATGTTTATAAAAAAATAAAAAAATAAAAATGAA